CTTCCCTCTTTAAGTATAAATCTCCTAAGGAATCCTAAGATTAAGTTGTCAGCAGAAGGCCTGAGTTAGATTCAGTCACATAATATCTCCTTACTTTGTCCAAGGTCTGATCAGCTTAAAAAGTACTAAGAGAAGTATGCAGAAGTGTGTATTGGTGTAAATGTATGTTGTATCTGTGATTTTACTTCTATTCCAGTCCCATTCCTGCGGATTCCGGTCCCATTCCTGCGGATTCCTGTGGATTCCAGCGGATTCCGGTCCCATTCCTCCGGAATCCACCGGAATCCGCAGGAATGACCGGAATCCTGCAGGAATGGGAGGGGCACTGTAAAGTACTGAAAGTGAGTATTGGCCCAGGGCCAGAAACCTTCTCAGAGACCCTTGCATACAGACTTCACGAAGGGTGAGTTTCGAGTAGTTCCTCAAAACGGTCAACAAAGATAGGGGTGATAATCTTGAATAAGTGCAGATTCTGTTTGATTGTTCTCGTCATGATGGGATTGCTTAATTCAGAGGGGGGGGATCTCAGGTAACGGTGAGGCAGTTTCTGTCCAGTCAGCAGAAGAATGAGAAAAGATATTAGCACCATCCCAAATGTTATACCTGAGATATTTCAGGCACAATTCATGCACTAGTTCCCTCCTTGATATCACAATTTCTCTCCCCGTGGCTTGGGCGCTTGCATTTTTTGCAGACATGACGGAACCTGCCGTTGTCTGCAGAGTTCCTGCACCTGTTGGATGAGTTAAAATGGTTGCAAATCTCTGATTTCATGACTTTCCCTGAAGATCATCTGGGTCCGAATCTAACGTGGTCTGATTCGACACCGTCTGGCATAAGAATGGCAGAGTAGAACCTGATGAAGTGATGGGTGTCAGTGAGGAGGGCATTCTGAGCGCCCCTGACTTCATTTCAGATGGCGATGTCATAAAGGATGATCTTCCTGTGCTGTACTTTACCCTCCCCAGCTTAATCCATATGGAATGCATGGAAGGGGGGTGGATTCCAGGAATTCCAGATGGATTCCATGGAATGGCTGATGGACTCCATACTTTCTGGAGATGGATTCCATGGAATGGTTGATGGACTCCATACTTTCTGGAGATGGATTCCATGGAATGGCTGATGGACTCCATACTTTCTGGAGATGGATTCCATGGAATGGCTGATGGACTCCATACTTTCTGGAGATGGATTCCATGGAATAGCTGATGGACTCCATACTTCTTTCAGATGGAATCCATACTTTTTCCATACAGAATTCAGATGGAATAAGTCCCAATTCCACAATTATTATCATAGAATCAGAAGTCCAGACTTAATCTGTAAAGTTCCAACTTAAACACTAATAAATGAAGAAAACTAAGGTGTATTGAACAAGACTACATAATTTTATTTTACTACATATAATATTAAAGGGAGGGGGAGGGAGAGGTATAGATATAGAGTGATCAAGGGAGGGGGAAGTGATGGAGGGGAGTGGGAGTTGTGGAGAGAGGGAGTTGTGGAGAATGAGGAGGGAGGGGTGGGGTGGAGAGTGATGGAGGTGGGGAGTTATGGAGGGGGAAGGAAAGGTGGAGAGTGGGGGAGCAATT